TCTCAGTTCTGAATTCATCTACGATCTTTTTACTCAGATTTGGACCCCCGTTCTTCAAAAAAAAAAAAAAAAAAAAAAAAACATTTTGTTCAAAAGTCTGATTGGATGCATTTTCTGTACTCCTGTTTCCGCTGAGACATACACCCTTAACAGTGAACTACTGTAGGTCTCTCTGACCTCTAGGTCAAAACTAAAGAGCTTAAATCATTCCAATTTTTACAAACATAATGCAGCATGATGGGGAGATTACCATAATCATCTCTGATTACAATAATGTTTTTTTTTTCCTAAAATTCCCTGAAGGAAAAAAAAAACTGCTGTCTTGGAAGAACCTTGAGGGACACTGCAAAAAAAAAAAATGGTACACTGCAAAAAAATAAAAATAAATAAAACAAAAAGTCATAACTACAAATGTTTGTCTGTTACTTTATCTTATTTTAAAAAGTTATTTGTGTTTTACCTAAAACAAATTAAGCTATACAACGTTTACCTTAGTCAGTTTGTTTGATGAAAGTTCATTTGACTAGAAAAGTTTTACAAACTTTAAAACAAACAAACACAAGGTAGCAATAATTTTTACACTGTATAAGCTAGTCCTTTTCAATGTGATGTCCATAAACATTTCCTGCCTTGTCAAACTATCTTATAACTGCAACAAAAGGCAAGTTAATCATAACTTAACGTTATACCAGCTATTATATTATTATTTATCAATATATAGACCTTTTTGGATTCTCCTAAGCTATGCAATTTAAATTATTAATTATTATTATTATTATTATTATTATTATCATTGTTTACATTCATTAAAATGGTCTATAACTAGGGCCAGACAGAAACTGCGGACATTCCTTGGTATTTCTGCTGAACATTTTCAGAAAAAAAAAAATAGAATGATTTTGAGTATCAACACAAAACTTTTATGAAATAATAAATATTACCTTTTTAACTTTAATGTTTACAATGCAAATCCAATTATATCAATTTATTTGATAAAGCAGGTCTATCATATAGTATATCAACTAAAAGACAGGAAATATTACTTTAAAACTGTATCATTAACTCATATCAGTCAATAATATTGCAGAAATTAATCTAAAAACTGAGTAAATATAAATTTACACATTTACACAAGTAAACACCGATTTGATTGGCCAAAAATCTGAGCACTCAGATTCCGTGTGGGCCTATATATAAAACTACATAAGAATACATGAAATTATCATAGGAAGAACCATATTAAGCAATGAAATTACTAACAGTATGAGTAAAATGCTATTGACACGTGTGCTATAACAAATACAAACCGAAGTCTTACAAAAAAGACTTTTTTTTTGACTATTGAGAGATCCATAATTAGCCTCAAGCACAAAAGCACCTACAAATCCAGTCAGATCAACCCAACAAGGAAACAAAACACGCTAAACAGCACGCAAACACATCCACGTCTGGCCAAAACAATCCGGATTGATCAGGATTTGTGCTGTTTCATTAGACCCACAACCCGAACTGAATTGGGATGATATCCATGATGTTACCAGTCAGTCGTCATCGTAGTGTACTTAATAGTGTGCTTCTACTGTCATCTAGCGGCCAACTAGGTGTATATAACAAGTTTGTGTTGCTTCTTGCCAAGCGACTAACAAAACCTCTTACCTTAATACATAGGCCTATCTTGTTTTGATACTCCTCAAACATTGTGTTGGGTTTAATTATTCATCCTCACAGTTTTAAGCGATTAATTCATGTTGGTTTTCCTACTGATACAATTCTTACTAAAAAAAAAAAAAACTGTTCGGCCAAAGCACATCTTCCGTCATTCTTTTTTGAACAGGTAACTGGCTTAGGCAGCGCCACACCTGGACTTTTATTAGCTAATTAGGTCAGGGGGGCGTGGTAAAATCAATCTAAGCCAAAAGGAAGCTTTTTATTGGACAGAATTCGCACATGCAAATAAGTGCGAGGTGAGTTTGCTTTCCCTGAACATAAATATTTAATTTATTTAAAAGCTGATTGTGTTACATTTATTTCCATTCATCTGATAAACGTTAACGTTTAGGGATACAATATCATTTACATGTAAAAAAAGCTAAAATATTACATAAACCACATCCTTTAAATTAAAATTTAAGTCTGATTAAATTACATTAGAAATTATGCGTTTTAAATCTAAATGACTTATGTATTAGCCTATAAAATTAACTTATATATTACATGTTATAAAAATTAATTAATAATTATTTGTTTATTGTATTTTCATAGTCAATTGTACTATATAACTATCTAGGTGAATTGGATTAACTAAATTGACTGTAGTGGGTCAATCTTGCATTTCTTGCATGCTTTTAACACTTACTTTTGCTTCACAGAGATCTTCTAGATATTCAAGTTTTTCTCAGCCAAACAATGACATATGATATTCATACAATAAATGAAATTTATTTATTCACCTTTCAGATGATGTATAAATCTCAATATTAAAAAATGACACTCATGTGTCACTCAGTTTTATAGTCCTTGGTTACATTTATTTGGTTGTTCAACTGATTAACAGTTTAATTACAATGAAATACTGAAACAAACACCTTCTATGGATTGCTTGCAGTTGCCTAGTCACTCAACAACTAAAAGCCTATTACATATTAACTCACAATTTGTAAAAACAAATATTTTATTTCATGTATCCCACATACAATGAGAATTCAATGAAATTTCAAATTTCAATGACTTAATGCATTTTGGTTTTTGTATTCTCAGATTTTTGCATAGATTTAATGTAAAAACTCAAATATGAACTGCATAATGTTTCATCTCAGGTAAAAAATATTTCCCAAATACTTTAAAGGTTATTTAAAATTTTAATGAAGAGAAAAAAAAAAGTTAGTAAACATATTGACTAATTTCAAATAACTAATTTGTTTTGTCTTTGCCATGATGACAGCACATTTTATTTTGCGAGATACTAGTATTCAGCTTAAAGTGCAATTTAAAGGCTTAACTTTGTTAATTAGGTTGGACAACATTAGTTTGTTCTGCAGAAAGAAAAATAATAATGGAAAAATAATAATAATAATTTTTTAAAAACATAACAATTTCTTAATAATGTTGACCTTAAAATATTTTTTTTTTTGAAAATGTAAAACTTTTAAAAAGCCCAGTCAAACTAAAATAAATAAGACTTTATCAAGAAGATTTATATAAAATAATACATTTATAAAACTATATATGTGGCGATTCGGTGGCTCAGTGGTTAGCACCGTCACCTCATAGCAAGAAGATCGCTGGTTCGAGTCCCTGCTGAGCCAGTTGGCATTTCTCAGTGGAATTTGCATGTTCTCCTTTTGTTGGCGTGGGTTTCCACCGGGTGCTTTTGTTTCCCCCACAGTCCAAAGATGTGTGTGAATGAGTGTGTATGCATGATTCCCAGTACCATGTTGCAGCTGAAAGTGCATCTGCAGCATAAAACAAATACAGGATAAGTTGGTGGTTCATTCCGCTGTGGCGACCCTTGATTAATAAAGTGACCAAGTTAATGGAAAATGAATTAATTATGCAATAAAAATCTAAACGATAGTGATTTTTATTATTAAATTTGAATAATACATTTGTATTCATTTATTGCATTTACTTTCACACACAATTGTAATCTTGTGTATCTTGCATGGATATATTAATCTGTAGATGCTTGGATATTTTTATGCCATCAAACACCTGCTTTTGCCTCACAGACACTGGTATTTTCATCAAGTAAAAGTCAAATAACATTTTTTTATTTTTCTGTGTGGTTAATTTAAATATGTACAATACATCCTTTATCACACATACATAACTATACAGTGTTTGCTAATCAGCTATTTTAAGAACAATGAAATAAAAGTAACAAGTAGACACACTGATGAAACACAATTTGTAAAAAAAAAAAAAAAAAAAGACTTTATTTCATATATCCCACATCGTTTTCATCGACCAAATGCATTTTGGTTTTTCAATTCTCAGGTTTTTGCATAGATTTAATGTAAACACTCAAATATGAACTGCATATTGATTTTTTACAAACTCATCATAACATTTTAGCACACACTGAATCTTAAAATCTCAAGTACATACAGTTGAAGACAAAATTATTGTCTCTCTTGTTAAATTTAATTATTTTACAAATAATTCCCAAGTACTTAAATATTTATTTAGAATTTTAATGAAGAGGAAAAAAGTTCATAAACATAATGACTAATTTCTTATAACTGAATTCTTTAGTTTTTTCCATGATGACAGTACATAATAGTTTATAAGTTATTTTACAAGATGCAAGTATTCAGCTTAAAGTGCAATTAAAAGGCTTAATTAGGTTAATTATTGGACAACAGTGGTTTGCTCTGCAGAAAAAAAATGAGGAAAGATGTGAGTTTCTTAATCATATTCACCTTAAAATATATATATTTTTTAATTTAAAATTATTTTTTAACTCCAGTCAAGCTAAAAGAAACAAGACCTTGTCAAGAATATAAAAAACAATTGTATAATTGTAAAAACAATATAAATACACATTTGCCTTCTGATATGGGATGTACAGTATATACAGTGAGAAAAATAAGTATTGAGCAGCACATCACCATTTGTCTCAGAAAACATATTTATAAAGGTGCTGTTGGCTTGAAATTTTCCCCGGATGTTGGTAACCAAGAAAGAAATCCATATATGCAAAGAAAACAAATCTAATTGGTTTACAAATGAAGTTATGTGTCATGAAATGAAATAGGGAAAAAGTATTGAACAAATGAAGAAAGGGAGGTGTAGAAAGACAGGGAAAGCCCAGACAGCAGCTGAAATCTCTCAATAGTTCTTCAGCAACCCTCTGCCCTTCATCATTGTAATTACACACAACTAATTTTGTTTTGTTTGATTTTTATGCTTGGTTTTTACCCAAATCTGGTTCAATTCGATGTCAACAGCTGCTTTAGAAATATTAATCCCAGGAAAAAACATGACATATTCAATGCTTATTTTCCCTGCTGTATGTATTATGTCTTTATTTTCTTTTGTCATTCCTTTAAAACCAGTTTTAAAACATTTTTAATCTGTTTTTAATCATTTTTATTCTTTGTTGTTCTCCTATAATAAGGTGAAAATGAATAAAAAAAACTCTTAATTCTCAATCTCCTATAATCTGGAGGAAAGTCCTTACCCCAGGTGGAGGAGTTTACGTTTCCCAGGGTTTTGTTCACGAGTGAGGGAAGGATGGAACATGTGATTGACAGACAGATTGGTGCAGCAGTAATGCGGTCGATGTACCGATCCGTTGTGGTGAAGAAGGAGCTGAGCCGAAAGGCAAAGCTCTTGATTTACTGGTCAATCTACGTTCCTACTCTCTTACTTCTCTTACCTCTCTATACTTTGGGTCATGACCGAAAGGACAAGATCTCAGGAACAAGCAGCCGAAATGAGTTTCATTCGAAGGCTGGCAGGGCGCACCCTTATGGATAGGTTAAGGAGCTCTGACACCCGGGAGGAGCTCGGAGTAGAGCCGCTGCTCCTCCACAACGAGAGAAGTCAGCTGAGGTGAAACAGAAATCTGTTTCGGATGCCTCCTGGACGCCTACCCAGGGAGGTGTTCCAGGCATTTCCCATCGGGAGGAGGCCTCGGGGAAGACCCAGGACACGCTGGAGGGACTATGGCCGTACTCACACTAGGTACAGTTGCCTCGAACCGGGCCAAAGCACGCTTGTCCCCCCTCCCGTCTCCCCCGATGGCCCGCGCTCACACCATATCTGGCCTCAGCACGCTTACGTCATCGCTGCTGCTCTGTTCAGTGAGAAGCACTCTCTATGGCAAGCCTTTTTAGCATTTAAATCTTTGTTCTGACTCTATAAATATATTTAGAGATATCTCTAATTATGTTTTGACTAGTCATAATTATAATTCCACTACTCAGAATGACAATTAGAGATATCTGCAATTACAATTGTACTAGTACGAAATCAGATTGGAAATATCTGCAAATATATTATGACTAGTCATATTCCTCCATTGACTTCCATTGAAAAATATTTGCAGATATCTCTAAATTTTTAGAGTTTTGATTAGTCACAATTGTAATTAGAGATATCTCTAACTGAGTTTTTACTAGTTAGAGATATCTCTAAATATATTTATGGATAGTCAGAACAGGGTTTAAATGCTAAAACAGCTTGCCATACGCTCTCACCCAGTAGCACAGTGGAGATTTCTCTAGTTATATCGTTTCAGTCGTTTGTCATGCATTGACATGCAGTCCAATATTTCGCCAAACAGTCCTTAGGGATGCGGTGACGCAGTCAGATATTTCACCGGACAGATCCGCCACTTTTGGCGCTCTTAAACAATCATAAAGCCCTCTTGCTGCAGGAATGAGGAGGTCTGCTGAAGGTGCGCAGCTGTCATGCTGTGAGGAGTTCTCGTCTTTAATAAACTACGGCAGTTTGCGATCACTGAACAGTAAGAATGATTAATAAATCCATATGAAACAGCCCCTTAAAAGTCACGTACCGCTTTCAGTTTCGGGCTTTGGCGCGTTTTGGACTGAGCGTGTCTCTCTCTCTCTCTCTCTCTCTCTCTCTCTCTCAAAGAGCCCAAGTGATCCGCGCTCAGGCACACCTCTTCCAACCGGGCCAGGGCCAGCCAAGTGAACCATGCTTGAGCCCGATTCAGCGCACTCACACTTCTCAAACGATCCGGGAAACAGGCCTGGGCACAGTACGGATGGCATAGTGTGAGTAGGCCATATGTCTCTAGGCTGGCCTGGGAACGCCTCGGGATCCCCCCGGAGGAGCTGGAGGAAGTGTCTAGGGAGAGGAAAGTCTGGTGGTCTCTCCTAAAGGCTGATTTATACTTCTACGTCAAACACTGGCGTATGCTAAGGCGCTGACGCATAGCCCTTCGCCGTGGCCGTCGCCGTGACTGACGTGCACCTCTCAAAAAATTTAACTACACGTCGCAACAAAGCATAGCGCAGGCTCTGTGATTGGTCGGCTTGGTAGCGCTGACGAGTCTGGGCGGGACCATTAACACCTCACTGCCAACTAGCGTTTCAGAAGTGTTAATGCAGACCAACAGAGACAGCGCGCAGAAGTATAAATGCACAGCCACGCGCGTTGCATGCGTCGTGGGTTACGCCGGTCACTTGACGCAGAAGTATAAATCAGGCTTAAGACTGCTGCCCCCGCGACCCGGCCCCGGAAAAGCGTCAGAAAATGAATGAGAAATGAATGAATGTTCTCCTATACTTGTATTTTATGTTTCTTTTTTTCTTGTTTATGTAAAGCACTTTAAATTACCATACTGTATGAAGTGAGCTATGTAAATAACATTGCTTTGTATATAAAATGAATGTCAGGTTGTCCCTTATATTTGTTAAGTCAGTGACCCATCCTGAGTGTTAACCACTACAGTCCTCTAGTAGTCTTTGTGTTATGTGAAAGTCTCCACAGGCACTGGTTTTTGACATTGCTCTCCTTCCCACCCAGGAAAACACTGGCACCTGAAACTGTCTGTGAATCTACTGGTTTCTTCTTGACCCGTCCAGAGCCTCCTGTGAGCCACATAGGATGGGCCGCCAGTGATGGCACCTGGAAGCTGAGCTCTTGGAATGATGGACCACATTTCTGGATTGAGATGAAGGTAAACTGAGGCGCTCGGGTCCCTTCGGACACACCGGCCCTGAGAAGAGCACACTTTCCTGCTGCACAGAAATGCTGCCTCCGTCACGTTCACTATATAGCGGCCAAGTGTGATGTCCAGATAATCCCGAACCGCTTCACAGGCCCTCTGCACGAAACAGAAAGAGAGAGGGGTTTGGATGTTGTATTCTGCTGTGGTTAACTGAAGGTTTTATCAACATCGAGATTTTAGGGAAAACAAATCAATTATGAATATTTAAGAAAAGATGTTCATATTATGTAATATGGTAGCTCTTAATCAGTGTTGAGGAAAGTTACTTTTGAAAGTAATGCATTATAGTAATTACAGCCTAAAAATATAACATTACTTTTTACGGTTTTAATGTTTTTTTTTTCTTCTTTTTTCATTTTCTTTTATCATTAATTCATGCATTTTCTTTTCAGCTTAGCCCCTTTATTAATCTGGGCTTGCCACAGCGGAATGAATCACCAACTAATCCAGCATATGTTTTTATGCAGCGGATGCCCTTCCAGCCGCAACCTTTTACTGGGAAACATTCATATACACTCATACACTACGGTCAGTTTTAGCCTACCCAATTCACCTGTCCCACCTGTCTTTGGACTTGTGGGGGAAATCGGAGCACCCGGAGGAAACCCACGCAAACATGGGGAGAACATGCAAACTCCACACAGAAACACAAAGGTTCGAACCAGCGACCTTCTTGCTGTGAGGCGAATGTGCTACCCACTGCGCCACCGAGTCGCCATTTTATTTTATCTTTTTCATAAATTGTTTCCATAGATATATACACTAGATGTCGCCTGGCCTGTTGTTGTCTATTGGACGGAATGCGTCAATAGCGCTGCCATCTTGCTACAGGGTAGCGCTCCTTTGAAATGAATGCAGGACCAAGGTACAGTGGAGGACTGTAGCCATCAGAAGCCAGAGATATACACATATACACATATATCTATGATCGGGAGTTTTCCTGGATGTTAGTATGTAATTTTTGTTTCTAATCACGAAAATTATAATTTTACATCACTTTTCTACATTGATGGATCAGTGACCGCATGGGCATTCCTGACAAAAAGCTTGTGTTTGTGTGTATGGAAATATACTATCCACCCTCCCTGTTAAATTTAATCTAATCCGTGTCCTGAAACACAGCTCCTCTCCTGCTTTCACTTCTCATACTGACGGAGGGAGCGATTCGTTTGTGAATGAATCCCCCGAACGACTCTTTCACTAATGTTAGCCGACAATAATACAAGTTTCTGGCAGCGCAGCATCTCGTTGTCATATTTCTTTTGCATTGTTTGCTGATTTTATTCAACAAAACTAGCATAAGCCGAGTGTTTAGTGCGAGTTGGAGCTGCTTTGCCTTATGGTAAATGCAGTGACTGTTATGACTGTTATCATCAATAACGTTACCTGTGTAAAAAAGTTCAGAACATTTAAAAACAGAAAAAAACTGAATATTACCTATGAAATGTTCTGCCTTTGTGCTTTGTTTTCTTTGTTTGCTCGTTACTACACCCGTAGACAGCGCAAAAGTCCCGCATCTTTACGTAATAACACTGTTTTGACTAGTGCGATTGAATGACATTTTTCCTGGGAGCACTGTACCAATGTGGCAGCGCTATTGACGCATGCTCAGGGTCCCTATGCGATATCTAGTGTATATATCTATGAATTGTTTCTATATGTTCCTGCGGGCAGCGCATTTTCTCATTGAATGTGTGTTTTGAAATGGTAATTAATTAAACTAAAAAGTACCATGTGGGGGCACGGTGGCTTAGTGGTTTGCACTGTTGCCTCACAGCAAGATGGGCGCTGTTTTGAGTCCCGGCTGGGCCAGTTGCCATTTCTGTGTGTAGTTTGCATGTTCTTCCCGTGTTGCCGTTGGTTGTGGATGCTCCGGTTTCCCCCACAGTCCAAACACATGCGCTTTAGAGGAATTGAATAAACTAAATTCTCCGTAGTGTATAATTGTGTGTGTGTGTGTGTGTGAATGAATGCATATGGGTGTTTCCCAGTACTGGCTTGCGGCTGAAAGTGCATCCACCTCTGAAATAGAGACTCTAACCCTTTGTAGCAGAGATGCTCTTGGTTAAATGCTGGCAAAGTAGAACATGGAAGCAGCTTGAAGCGGGAAAACATGAGTATGTCTGCGGTCTGGAGGTATTATAAAGTTGATGACGACGTTTTTATATTAGACTTTTTTTTTAAACATTTACTGTTGCATTAAAGTCCAAAAGTGAAGAATTGATGGTTTTTATTACTTGATTGTTCAAGCTACCTCACAGAAGTTGTTGAATGCTTGAAAAAGGTAAATAAAAAAAAAAATAAAGAACATCCTGGATCGGTTTCTTCGCTCTTCTTTATTATTTTTTATGTCTTATAGAAGTATCGAATCGGATTCAGTATCGGTAGATATACATAATCAAATACCTCAGGGGGGGGTAAAAAACCTGATAGGGACATCCCTGATTATTATTACATAACATGCGTTACGGGCGAAGCAGTGGCGAAGTAGATAGTGCTGTCGCCTCACAGCAAGAAGGTCACTGGGTCGCTGGTTCAAGCCTCAGCTTAGTTGGCGTTTCTGTGTGGAGTTTGCATGTTCTCCCTGCGTTCGCGTGGGTTTCCTCCGAGTGCTCCGGTTTCCCCCACAGTCCAAAGACATGCGGTACAGGTGAATTGGGTAGGCCAAAATTGTCCGTGGTGTATGAGTGTGTGTGAATGTGTGTGATGATGTTTCCCAGAGATGAGTTGCGGCTCGAAGGGCATCCGCTGCGTAAAAACTTGCTGGATAAGTTTGCGGTTCATTCCACTGTGGCGACACCAGATTAATAAAAGAACTAAGCCAACAAGAAAATTAAATAAATTTGCATTACTTTTAATGCGTTAGCCCAATACTGCTCTTTACTATTCAGATTTAAACATTAAATTATTCAAATAATTCAATATTGTTTAATCATTCAATTCTGAATTTTCGGTCGATTATTTATTTATATATTTAAAAACAAATTTAGACTAAAAATATGTTTGGTCAAGCACCATAACAGCTTTAAATGGAGTAAAATTTGTTCAACTATATCACAACATCTTCCCCAAAATGCAAACGTATATGAATATTCAAAATTATTGCTTGACACAAATGCAAAAATGTCAGTCTAATGTCTAGTAATAAAACAATCAGAATAAAATTGAGTTAATAACCAGATACAGATCAATATTTATAGAGATTAGGCTGATATTTGGCTGTTATTATGGGATTACTGGCAAATACAAAATATCTGCGCAAGAGTCAACAAAGTATCTGAGCAAAATATCATGGCCACTTCATTGCTTTAGTTTAGTATTATTATTTAATTGGAGTTTTAGTTTAGTACCACACCAACATATTTATTTTAATTGTAGATTTATAAAGGTTTAATGTCAAACTTTGTGTCTGTTTGATCATTCAGTTCACACACACACACATATTCAATTACCAAAAATTATTTAGAGCTTATACTATATGTAACTCTTTAACTTGTAACACTTTCAACACTTTTACCTCAATTATAAAGCCACATCAAGTCCTCATTAATGATTAAGTCCCCACAATAACAAACTGACATTAAAATCTCTTGGACACATGCCATAAACTACACACTTTTGAAAACCCAGCATTTCAGATGATTAGTTAATCACCGTAAGTGCTAATCATCACAGCGGTAAACAACAGTTTTCCCCTTCCATATATAAAGAACTGAGATTTATTTCCAGGCAGACTGTTTCCAACATTGTCACTGACATATGAGAGTTCACATGTTTAACAGGCAGTATGAGGGTACGAGTAAGCCATTTGAGACGATATTCACATTCATAACTGGTCGATTGAAGTGATCAAGAGTTTACAGATGAGCAAACTTGCATTATTTAGTATTCAACAGTTCCAACAGAGGCTTTTAGCAGTAAGTAAATATATGAGTCAACAGTTCTTAATATAATTAATTAATATGAGTGTTTTTTGAAGAATCATGTGAATTCTGTGAAGCTAAAAATTCATCTTTAAAATGACTAGAATACATTCAGTCATTCATTTTCTTGTCGGCTTAGTCCCTTTATTAATCCGGGGTCGCCACAGCGGAATGAACCGCCAACTTATCCAGCAAGTTTTTACGCAGCGGATGCCCTTCCAGCCGCAACCCATCTCTGGGAAACATCCACACACACATACACTACGGACAATTTAGCCATCCCAATTCACCTGTACCACATGTCTCTGGACTGTGGGGGAAACCGGAGTACCCGGAGGAAACCCACATGTACGCAGGGAGAACATGCAAACTCCACACAGAAACACCAACTGAGCCACTAGAATACATTATAAAATAAAACTATAAACTACTTTTGAACAGTTATAGAGCAATAACATTTCACAATTGTACAATTTGTCCTATATTTTTCATGAAATAAACGCAGTCTTGGTGAGCAGGAAAAGCTTATTTTAAAACATTAAAAAATCCTACTGACCCCGAATTTTTGACCGGTAATCCATTTCTTTCTTAGCGTGATGAACATTTTTACAAAGATCAACTTGTTTTACTTAGGAGTGCAGGTGAAAAAGTTCCAAGAATGTTCTATAATGGAACCACAGATTCCTAGAACCCTTATATGTGTCATTTTTAAAACAACTTGACGCACTTCAGTTCTCTAGCCAGCCACTTTACCACTAGCATACAGTAATCAGAAGTATATGCGTGCATGTGTGTAATCAACATCAGTCAACCTTTGTTCGAGAGAAGTTTCCATCTCCCCACAGCACGACACCGGAGGCTCCAAGAGCGACACTCTCGCCAATGGTGTGCACCAAGTCATCCTGAAAACAGCATTGAGTGACACATGAAACAGAATTAGATCAACACAATCAAAAGCAATAGCTACCATAACTTTAAAGTGGTAATAATAAATGTTTCAACTCTATAACAATAAGAAGAAAGAAGACCAATAACATTTGGTAGCATAGTTAATCGGTAACACTTTACAATAAGGTTCATTAGTTAATGCATTTACTAACATGAACTAATCATGAACAACACTTGTACAGCATTTATTAATCATAATTGAACATTTACTAATGCATTATTAACATCCAAGTCCATGCTTGTTAACATTAGTTAATGCACCATGAGTTAACATGAACTAACAATGCACTACTGTATTTTCATATACTAACGTTAACTAACATGAACATATACAGTAGTAAATGTACTGTTCATTGTTTGTTCATGTTAGTAAATGCATTAATTAACATTAACTTATGAACCCTATTGTAAAGTGTGACCAGTTAATCTTATTACATAATTAATTCACACACACAAAAAAATTGTATTTACCAGAGTTTAAAGATTCTAAAACATTTAAAGCAGCAGACATAACTGATTAACCACAAAGAGCAATATTATTTGTTTGTCAATTATTATTTTTTATTGTCTACTGACAAACAACTGTTGTCTAATGACTTGTCTATTTAACCCACTTGCCTAGTTAACCTAATTAACCTATAGGCAGGTTATAAAAATGCACTTTAAGCTGAATACTAGTATCTTGACATCTAACGCCCCATTCCCACGGGCTGTCAGCGTCCATGTTTCCCATTCACTTTGAAGGAGTGACATCAAGCGTTGTTGCACTGAATTGTGTATCCATCGCCGCTGCAGAAGTTGGGGATTTCTTAACTTTTCAAGTGCCAACGAAAGCATTAACCAATCAGGGGTGAGTTTCCCAAACAACGATGTAACTCACGGCTGATATATCATATGGGAAAAGAACGATGTAGTGACGAGTGTTTCCCAATACCCGTAGTTTCTCTGTCGCAGATCCATCATTTGAACCACGTTAGTTATAATGTAAAACACCCATAATGATGCTCTAAAGGGGGTGGAGTAACAACTTCTTTAGAGAAGAACCCCATCATTTCTTTATGCAAATTATATTGTTTTACACTTATTTCCCATATTAACTGAAATGTATGTAATTAACACATACATAGAGTTTCCTTTACAAATTGTTTTGAAAATATTCCATAGTCTATTCGAAATTAACATAAAATCACTTACAAAAGTGTATTCTAACATCATATATAAATCTTATAAATAAATGAGCCTATTTAATAAGAAATTATATTTTTTATTTATTAGGAAATGAAAACAATCCTACTTTAATAATAATAATAATAATAATAATAATGATGATGATGTTTATTTTTTTTATTATTATTATTATTATTATTATTAAATAGGATTTTTTTTAAGTCTACTTTTAAAGTTTGACACATGCAAACCACTGCAGAAAAGTTCCAACCAACAGACCCATGTCATAAACAGTACAGATACTTAATAAATAACCTACTATAAATTAAAAGCATTAATGTATGCTATGTTTTTTTTCACACGTTTTTGAAAACTTTATTCCACTTTTAAATAATAGGTCACCTATAGCTTTCGTCATGAGCTACGGCTGTGTTCAAAATGACATCAAAGTGCACCACGAAGGGAGCGCAATTGTAAACATGAAGATCGCAAAAATGATCTGTAAAAATTATTTGAAAGCAAATTACACCTAAGAGAGATGACTTTAATACTTTTTAAAATAAAATAATTCCAAGTTTAAATGTTAGAATGTTCTAAACGAATAGGACATAGCGGGGATAACTGGGAATAGAACACAGCCCGGAACTATGTTTCTTCGTTTGCGATGCAGCTTGCGAATGTTTGTTGAAACAATGGATTTGGGAAACACCAAATCAGCAAACTATATTTGTAACGACACAACTTGCGACCTTAGTTGGCTAACAGTGGTTTTACGCACCCCAGATCGCTTTATGCAAATAACCCAGCTCAGACAGTAGCTGATTGCGGGCTAATTTCATTGGCTGACGCTGCTATGACAATCGCGTCAGCCCCAACTTTAGACATGCACTCCGTCAAGTGTTGACGCTGAAGCCCCATTTGAATCGAGCGTAAGGAGTACAATATCATGTACTGTCATCATGACAAAAACAAAAAGGAAACAGTTATTAAAATAATTATAAAACTCTTTTTTAAGTGTTAAACAGCACTTGGAAAATATTTGAAAAATAATTACAATTATACAGGAGGCCTAATCATTTGGCTGTAATCCTGTTTATTTATAGGTTCATGGACAAATTATTAGGCATCCTGTGAAATTATAATTCTCTTTTAAATGTATCCAAGTGCTCTTTAACACTTTTTAAAAATCAGAGCATAAAAAGTTACCAAAGTAGACCAAAAAGAGCACCAAAATAGTTTTAGTTTATTTTTAGTCATTTAAAAAGGCAGAAGATTTACTTCTTTTAGTCATTGTTGGCAGGGCCGGAGTGGGACTCTTTTTCAGCCCTGGAGTTTCAAGCCTTAGACCGGCCCACTGACTATATTAAAATAAGGTCATTTCCAATTCAGTTTCTAATTACACGTCTTTTTTTGAGAAAACAGCTGTTTTAGAACTTCAAAGGTTCAACAACCCTTACAATATTATATGTCTTAACAATAAAAATGAAAAAAAAAATGTTACTCAGACGAGGGCCGAATCCGGATTGGCGGCGTTATAACCTAACGTGCTGACCACTGTACCACAACAGCTGTACATTGAATGGTGACTTATCTAGTTATATCATCATTATCCTTGCAGGCTGCATCCTGCTCACGAGGCTACGAGAAAATAGATAAAAAGAGCAGAGCTGCGGTAAAATAATGAATAAGAAGGCTGTGGTCAAGTAAATAAATAAATAATTTTTAAAAAGTGTGACTGCTGAGAGCAACAGATTCTGGAGCTAGGGACACCGGCCCTCGCGGCCAAAAAACAGACCGGCCCACCGGGAATTCTCTCGGTCCTCCCGATTAGCCAATCCAGGCCTGATTGTTGGAGTCTCCAAACCATTTCTTTTCAACTGATGAATAATAAAAACACTGAGAGCCACTCAGAATTCACCCTGCTTCAAAAAGCTTGTGAATTTAATAGGATAGTTCACCCCAAAATTAAATTTACTCACTATTTACTCACCTTCAAGTGGTTATAATAACACTTATGGGATTATTTCTTCAGTTGAACACAACAAAGACATTTTGAACAAAGCTGAAAACCTCTAACCATTGTCTTCCATAGTAGAAAAACAAATACTATGAAAGTCGGCGGTTACAGATTTTTAACAAGTGAAGGGAAAGTAAAGGATTGATTATTAATGATCAATTTTTTAATTTTTGTGTGAACTATTACTTTAAAGTGGAGCTTACAATGTAATTGTGCTTTTATATTTGATTTTTTATATATTTTAAGTCGAAAAGTGAAGATTTGATGTTATTTATTACTTGATTGTTCAAGCTACCTCACAGAAGTGCTCTGTTAAAAGAGTTGTTGAATGTTCAAATAATGTAAATTAAATAAAACATAAGGATCTGGATCTGTTCCTTTACTTTTCTTTGTTCTTTTTTATGTATTATAGAAGTATCGGAACTGGTTTCGGTATCGGTAGATACTTAAAATCAAATGACTCAGACTTAAAGGCAAAAAACCTGATTGGGACATCCCTAGTTATAGTATTAGTTATATAAGAGTCTCTGTTCTGACCTGTGAGAGAAACTCCATAGAGTATGTGAAGGCGATCCTGGCGTAGGGGAAAACGGAGGGCATCTGATGGGTGGTCTTTTCCCTTACCCTCATGGCCTCCAGGATCCGATACCTGCTGTACAGCAAAATGTCCTGACCGCGGCCCCGAAGTCCGAGATCCAGATAGATATCAGGGTACAAAGCGGAGCTGACGTTCCACATCCAGGCCAGTTTATCATTCCTCTTCATCTCCAGAGCCGGACACTCACCCGTGTAAGTCTCGTTCTTTTTATACTGATAATTATAGCAGCAAGGGAAGCCATAAAACCCCCATAATCCTCCAGGACGCTCTCTACGGCCTAGTTTTAATGTCTCCACCATAAAGGCCATGGAAGATGCTTCAAATTCCTTTACAGCTTCAGTTTCTATCTGATCCGGACTCCAGGTAGGATGTTTGGCTTTCACTATTGCTCTCGAAGCTTTCCAGTAGACTTCCTTAGAGTCCCAGTTACGTTCCCACAGTGGTCTCCATTTCTCCCAGTCAATAATAGCCAGTCCTTGAAATTCAGGATCCGGTATGTTTTTGCGCAGGTCTTCATCTGCTTTCTTTAGGTGTTCGTTCAGACTGGCATTTTGAGGAACACCTCCATATATCGGTTCATCGTTAGGACCATAGTGGGGATATTTTCCTAACTTATCGGAGTAAAATATAGTGATGTTGTCGCCCATGAATGTCTGGTTAGGGTTGTGCACGATGTCGAAGACGCTCAAATCCAGTTCCACTCCAAATCGAGACTTGCAGCGCTCTGTTGGTGCGTTCCATATGGAAATAAACGGGAGCTGAGGGAGGAGATGGGATGAGATTGAAGGTTATTTTAGTAAACAAAAACTAAAGCTATTGGTCAAAACACATTATCACTTAGTGAACTAAAATTAAAAAAAAATCATAATAAATGAAAAACTCAAGTTAAGTAAAATGGATAACAGTCACTGAAAATTGTAATGAAATAAAATCATAATTAGGAGACTAAAATAAATTATTAAAATTAGGGCGGCACGGTGGCTCAGTGGTGAGCACTGTTGTCTCACAGCAAGAAGGTCACTGGTTCGAGTCCTGGCCTGGGCCAGTTGGCATTTCTGTGTGGAGTTTGCATGTTCTCCCCGTGTTCGTGTGGGTTTTCTCCAGGGTTATTATAGTTAACGAACGACTTACAAATGAGGACAAGGAAGCAATTTACACAACTATAAGAGCAACAATGAATAAGTGCTGTAGGCAAATTTCAGGTGTGTAAAGTGTAAGAAGCAAAACTAAGTCTAAATAGTTGAGTTTTTAGTCGTTTCTTGAAGACACAAGTGACTCTGCCGTTCTGATGCAGTTAGGGAGTTCATTCCACCAACTGGGCAGATTGAATGCGAGAGTTCGGGAAAGTGATTTCTTCCCTCTTAGAAATGGAACCACGAGGCGACGTTCATTCACAGAACGTAAGATCCTAGAGGGCACATAAATCTGCAGAAGTGAGAGCAGATAAGAAGCAAAGCCAGAGGTCGCTTTGTAGGCAAACATCAGAGCTTTGAATTTGATGCGAGCAGCAACTGGCAGCCAGTGCAAACGGATGAGCAGCGGAGTGACATGTGCTCTTTTGGGTTCATTAAAGACCACCCGTGCTGCTGCGTTCTGAAGCAGTTGAAGAGGCTTGATAGAGTTAGCTGGAAGCCCGGCTAGTAGAGAGTTCCAGTAATCCAGTCAGGAGAGAACAACAGCTTGAACAAGGAGTTGAGCGGCATGTTCAGATAGGAAGGGTCGGATCTTTCTGATGTTAAAGAGTGCGAATCTGCACGATCGAGCAGTTCTAGAAAATTGTCCAGAGAAGTTTAGTTGGTCATCAGTCGTTACTCCCAGGCTCCAACTAACTGAAACTAACTAAAATTATTGCAAAAACCTCCTTCGTTTTCGTATTTGTAACTGTATTTAATACATAATCTTAATGTAAGCCTTTTAAAAGTAAATATAATCCTCGCTGCAGGTGTTTGTGTCTCCTGCTGCCACTGGCCAGATCGAGCCGGTTCTTCTCTAGTCATCCTCGCTGTTGCTCCCGCGACAAAAACAACGAGTGGACATGACAGCAGTGCGGTGACAGCATTAAATACAAAGACTGAAAACTCTTACTTTAAGGCATTTGTGCCCAATAATGGGTTTCATTTCTGTATCGCGATCTCGAACGAATCTTTGCTGTTGTATTTGAATTTGAGGATGGATAGATGGTAGTGTTAGATGATAGTGTTCATGTGTTCTCTGAAAATGTATGACTGAGTTTTTATTAAACAACATTAATTATGTTGATTTTGAATCTTGCACCTAACAAATATCCATATTTAGAAAAAAACTGAAACTAATACTGAAACTAATAAAAACTAAACTAAAACTAAGACATTTTTAAAATATAGAAACTAATAAAAAGTAGTAAATCCGCCTTTAAAACTAATTAAAACTAACTGAATTTGAAAACAAAAAGTCAAAACGAAATAGAAACTAAAACTATTGAAAAATCCAAAACTATTATAACCTTGGTTTCCTCCGGGTGCTCCGGTTTCCTCCACAAGTCCAAAGACATGCACTATAGGTGAATTGGGTAGGCAAAATTGTCCGTAGAGTGTGTGTGTGAATGAGTGTCTATGGATGTTTCACAGTGATGGGTTGCAGCTGGAAGGCCATCCGCTGCATAAAACATATGCTGGATAAGTTGGCGGTTCATTCCGCTGTGGCGACCCTAGATTAATGAAAGAACTAAGCCAAAAAAGAAAATGAATGAATGAAACTGGCCGTAGTTTATGAGTGTGAATGTGAGTGTGTATGGGTTACTTCCCAGCACTGGATTGCAGCTAGAAGGGCATCCACTGTAAAAAGCATATGCTGGATAAATTGGTGGTTCATTGCGCTGTGGCAACCCCTGATGAATGAAGGGACTAAACAGAAAGAAAATGAATGAATGAATGAAATAATCTGTGTAAATGAACACTAATTCTGTGGTGGAAAATCCGACCTGCGGCTGTTTATAGAAACGCCTGTAGATGGCGTTTTTACAGCAAAACACATCAGTCAAAAAGAGCAGGATTACATGATTAAAGTCAGGATTATTAGCCCTCCTGAATTATTTGCCCACATGTTTATTTTTTTTCCCTATTTCTGTTTAAAGGAAAGATGATTCTTTTAACACATTTCTAAACATAATAGTTTTAATAACTCATTTCTAATAACTGATTTATTTTATCTTTGCTATGATGACAGTAAATAATATTTTACTAGATATTTTTCATGACACTAGTAGGTTTAACAAGGCAAGTTATTGTATAACCGTGGTTTGGTCTGTATAGACATTCGAAAGAATACATTGATTAAAGAGGCTAATAATTTAGACCTTAAAATTCATTCTAGCCGAAATAAAAAAATAAGATTTTCTCCAGAAAAAAAACAATATCATAACAAATACTGTGAAAAATAATTTTGACTTCAATTGTATATACAAAAACATATTTTCTATATAGTTCATGGCAAAGAATACACTCTTTAAAATAAAATAACTCAACATAAACATAGGAGTCTGAGAAAAAATGCTCCTTTCCATTGGACATTTCAGAGGGCACTTAGAGGTTTTTGCATCTGAACTTTTTAGTTTTAGATTCACGGTTTTGTTAGACCATTTTTTTGTTGCTATAAACTGTTCAAACTCTATACTTTGCTTTGGTCGACACTGGAAGTGTTCTGTTAACTGTTGAAGAAATAGTTCACCCAAAAATGAAAATTCTATCATCATTTACTCTCCCTTCACTTGTTCAAAATCTAGTTGAGCTTCCTTCTTCTGTTGAACACAAAAGAAGTTGTTTTAAAAAAATGCTGAAAACCTGTAACCATTGACTTCCATAGTATTTTGTCCTAAAATGTAAGTCAATGCTCATTGGTTTTCAGCTTTCTTTAAAATATCTTCTTTTGTGTTTCTTCTTTTGTATCTTGAACAGAAGAAAAAAAAAAACTTATGAAGGTTTTGAACCACTTGAGAATTACATTTTTCATCTCTTTACACAAGAATTGCTAAAACTTACAGAATATCTAAACTAAAACCTAAATATAAATGTTTGTGCAAAAAAATAACTAAAGTAAAACTAACAAAACCTTTGATGAAAACTAAACTAAAATATACATTCAAATATACAGCGGATGCCCTTCTAGCTGCAACCCAGTACTGGGAAACATCCATACACACTTGCATTTACATGCACCCATACACTACGGAACGTGTTTAGTTTATCCAATTCGCCTATAGCGTATGTGTTTGGACTGTGGGGGAAACCGGAGCACCCAGTGAAAACCCACACCAACATGGGGAGAACATGAAAACCCCACACAGAAATGCCAATTGATCCAGGCCGGACTCAAACCAGTGACCTTTCTACCCACCGTGCCACCCCTAAAATATACAGCTAATTATAAAATATGATCGAAATAAAAACTGCAAAACTATAATAACCTTGATTAGAGGCTGGCTGAGAACTGATGCAGAACACATGCTGAACACCATCAGAAGACATGTTCGACGTCCAGACCTGTCCATCCCAGGAAAAGGTGAACCTGCAATGACGGAAACGCTGAACATTTAGCATCCTGCTCCACACCTGATGTTACATGAGCCAAGGCAATTTAAATGGAAATGAAGTCGAGCTACAGTCTAATTTAAAAGGTAATTTCAATGATGAGAGGCAATTTTTTTTTGAACAAAGGTATACTTTATCCTGAACAACTCATTATCCATAATAATCATCCACTTCAGGAAACACTACATTAAGTGTGCGTGTGCATGCGTGACCCCTGAAACGTGCTTTTATAATGTACAGGATTATTTTACTTCTCTAAGAAGCAGAGGCGGGCACAAAGATTAGATTATTACAATGACAATAACTTACAAAGTAAAATTATTAATATTAATATTTAACATTATTATCATTTTAGACATGTTACTATGGTAAAGATGTGCTGTTATCATGACAGTAAATCCATCTCATGATAAAAAAGCATCTATATATGGTAAACAGAAGTACATTATGATGCTTTTCAGTTCCACTTCCACAATATTAGCATCTGTACTTGTTGTTAGGGTGGTGTGCGACAACAGCAAGCCCAAAACCCATGGTATTACCACGGTACTTTTATGTTATTGTTTGTTACCATGTTAACTTTACACAAAAACTCTAAGTATATACATGGTAAACAGAAGTAGATTACAGGTCTGTAGCCAGCCTGCTGAAAGGGCTGGTTCTTTTTTTCCCCAAAACGGGACATTTTTGCAGTTATTAACTTGATTTTCTAGTTAAATATGAGGTTTAAACACTGCATTTAGTGGCATTTTAAGCACTATTTTTTAGCTGGATTAGCTTGTTGGATGATCATTATAATCACACTTTTTGATGTACAAAATATAAAAAATATTTCCTAAAGATTTAAAGTAAAAAAGACTTATTTTTAAAATACAAATGTATTACATCTGTCATTAATTTGATACATATATCAAAAAGTTATGAATTTAAAAAAATGGAGCTTATTGTCATTTATTGTGCAAATAAAAAAACTAAGCAGCACATTCAACTTTCCTCAGATTTCCTCAACTTTCACAATTTGCCCATTTGAATATTGAACAGTTAAAAATAAATAAATAAAATGATAATAATTTTTATACTAATACTACTAATAATAAAAATGTAGAGCTTAAGGATTTTTCTAGCCTCTCTTGTAAAAAGAACATTTAAAAATTCATGTATACCAACAATATAGCCTAATTATTATTAAAATTTGGTCATTTTTTCTTTCAATAATAGAAGTTAGGTTCCTTGTAAAATGTTTTATCTATTTAACAACAATAAAGTAGGTCCGTAGAGAAAAGATGACTTCATTTAAGTCAGATTTCACCTTTTATGGTTTTTTTTTACTATTTATGATGGCATACCATGCAAACTAGGACAAATGAGCTCTTGTATGGGACAAATTCTGGACCTTTGTCAGTAACCCTCCCTGGCTACGGGCCTGCATTATGATGATTTTCAGTTCCACTTCCACATATTTGCATCTGTACTTGTTGTAAGGGTGGTGTGCGACTACAGCAAGCCCAAAAACATGGTATTACCACGGTACTTTTATGCTATAGTTTGTTACCATGTTAACTTTACACAAAAACTCTAAGTCAATACACTTAATTTAATCAAAGCATGATTGGAATGGACATGACATACTATGTATGCTTCTGAAACAGAATTACGAATGAGTTAAAAAGAGGAACCACGACTTTGCGTGTCAAAACCGGTAAATACGGAGAATGTGGCCAAAACTGCCAATGCTTATATATGAAATATACATATATTAAAAGCCAATAAATGTACTTACTTATGCTGTAAACCTTTATGTATCGCTCATTCACAAAATAAATAAACAGCTTCAGCTTAACTCGTGACGCTCTCTTGGTAGGACCTATGGGAAAGAGGGGCGGGGCCAACGGAGGAGCGTAAGTGACGTTCACAAACGGCGTCGGTCCGCCCGGCGTACAACGTCGATTTCAATGTAAATGTGTCAAGAAATTGATTCTCCACTATGGCGACGTTTCGCTTCGGGCAGCACATCATAAAGTCCTCGGCTGTGTTTTTGAAGACGGAGTTGTCCTTCGCCCTAGTCAACCGAAAGCCGGTCGTGCCTGGTCATGTTCTCGTGTGTCCTCTCCGCGTCGTTGAGAGGTTTCGGGATCTTCGTCCTGATGAAGTGACGGATCTGTTCATGACCACGCAGAGAGTTTCCAGTCAAATAGAGAAACACTTCCAGGCCTCCTCCCTCACCATCTGCGTACAGGACGGACATGAGGCGGGACAGACAGTGAAGCATGTCCACGTCCACGTGCTGCCGAGGAAGGCTGGAGACTTCGAGAAGAATGACAGCATCTATGATGAGCTCCAGAAACATGACCGGGAGAGCGAGGATGACTCTTCTCAATGGAGATCTGAAGAAGAGATGGCTAAAGAGGCCAGTGAATTACGCAGCCTCTTCAGCTAATGTGTCTGCAGTGCTTTATCTGTTTGGAAGGTTGCAAGACATGCAGTTGATTAAGAAAACTTCAAAGAGAACTTCAACAAATCGAAATTTGTTCCTACGTTTTTTTATGACCATTTATTTAAAATAAAAAATTTTGTTGATTGATGTATTCTAAAAAAAACAACATAAAAATCCTGGTATTATTATGATATTTACAAACTCCCAACTAAGCTTTTTAATTTTCATCGACAGGTTCTCTTAGCATGGGCATAATGTTCCGCCATATACTGTAGATGTTTCGTTTGGAACAATAAGGACTCTGATTTAAGAACAAATCATTATATTTTAGTAACTGGTTTAGTAATAATATAGTTGCAACAACTGTTTAATAGTCATGGTGTTTTACTTAATTACTCTGAATTGCTGTTGTCTTTAAAATATTTTACCCTAGTATTTTGAATTTCTGTGTTAGACTTGCTACTGACGGCGTTAGGGGTTACACATCTTTCACCTTGTTTTACGCTTGAACAACTAAATGAAGAATGCTTAAGTCTATTTAACTGAATGTATTGTATTACATTACAACATCGATGCTGTAAAACATCGCTGTGAAATTGAATATAGTAACATTAAGCTTTCACTGGAAGTTTGTTTGCTTTAAACCCTATACTGTGCATAGAGCCCACAGAAGAAGGCTTTAAGACAAATCTAATTTTAAATTATTCAAAAGAGAAAAAAAACTGAGGACATGAGCTGGCTAGTTTTTTTTTTATCTATAGGCTATCGTTTTTAATTTATAACAACTACACTTACTAATTGTTTTTGTTTTTATTAATGATAATAAATTTCTATTTTAAACAAACTATTTTTTCATATTTCTTTGTTCAAAAATGCTAATTTAAAATTGTTATCTCATTACATCATTTATAAAACTGTAATAACGTACAGTTTAAAACACTTTGTGGTAAAATAGTATTTTTTTAAGCACTTTGACAAAAACAAAGGAAATATTTTGTTGCATCAAGTTTGTTATGATCACCACCCAGCAAGCTAATCCAGCAAAATTAGTGCCTAAAATCTCATTAAAATGCATCATTTGAACCTCATAATTTAACAGAAAATGAGGCGAAAAACAGCAAAAAGGTCGACTTATTGAGAAAAAAAACACCCCTTTTAATAGGCTGGCTACAGGCCTGTGTTTTGATATATATGATTAAACTAAGCATGGCGTAGTGGGTAGCACTGTTGTCTCACAGCAAGAAAATCGCTGGTTTGAGCCTCGGCTGGGTCAGTTGGCATTTCTGTGTGGAGTTTGCATGTTCTCCCCATATGTGGGTTTCCTCCAGGTGCTCCGGTTTCCACCACAAGTCCAAAGACATGCGCTATAGGTGAACTGGGTAAGCTAAATTGTCCGTATATATGTGTGCGAAAGAGAGCATCTCTCAGTTATGGGTTGCAGCTGAAAGGTCATCCGCTGCATAAAACATATGCTGGATTAATTTAATAAAGGAACTTAGCCGAAAAGAAAATGAATGAATAATTAAACTAAACAAAACGCTGCGATTAAAGAGTATTGCCAAATTAATTACTTATTTTAGCACATATATTTAATATATCTTTAAGTATTCTATCATTGTAAACGCTGAGGCTTATATATATTGAAATAATTTAGTAAATAATCATTAAAAAATGAATGCCTTAAAAATTAGGCTTACTGTAGAAAAAAAACCATGGTAATCAATAGTCTGATCTTGCAGCTCAAGACTCACTGAAGCTGATGCCGAGTTCAGTCTGCATGATTTTCAAAGTAGTCGTGTCAGATGTTTTCACACTGTATGACTATCTGGGCTGGCGTTTTGTCGCTGCTTTGTTTACACTGCAAGATGGATCGGGGAGTTTCACACTGCATGACTTTACAAAAGGAGAATCGCTGACAACTTTTTCCAAGCTACGTCTCACAACCAAACACAGGTAGCATATATTTTGTTATTAAGTACATAATGAGTCTTTAATTGGTTAAAAAAAATGTACATATTTGCTCACCTGGGTTTGAAGGGAATTAGCAATTTCTCCTCAACTTATATTTTATTCGGCCTGGTTGTGATATTGGTTAAACAGACACGGGTGCTCCTGACAAATATACAGTTTTATCTCCATTTCTTGGGTCCAAATAAATTGAAAATGAGCACTTTTAATTTGTCCCTCAACCTCCCGCTGGCCTGCAGGTAATCACGCTAGTGAATGCTGCTCTCTCATTGGCTGTAGGTAATCGCTGATGTTATTTTCATTCAAAACTCACACGGCATGATTTGAATCGCCGACAGCTCCAGATATTTAGCATGCCAAATATCTCACAGGCATCGGCGACTCATCGGCTATTCTCTCATATGGCGTCCTTGGTACACTCTAAAAAACAAAATCACCATTTGTTCAGCACACTACTTTTTCTGTCATAAATACTAAGAATTGTGAATACGAATTGATTACATAAAAATATATGTTATGTCAACAATATTCGCTAAATGTTATGTCTACATGTTTAACTGAGTTTTCTGGACAAACATTTTTGTGTTGAACAGAAATGTTGATATTTAAATAATTTGTGCTTGCGTGACGTGACGATCGAAAACTAAGTTTGTTTATCAGTTGCTTGAAAGAGTGGTGACACAGTGGCGCAGTTGGTAGCACAGTCACCTCACAGCAAGAAGGTTGCTGGTTCGAGACCTGGCTGGGTCAGTTGGCATCCCTGTGTTCACGTGGGTTTTCTCCGGGTACTCTGGTTTCCGCCATAGGTGTTTGCCAGTACTGGGTTGCAGCTGGAAGGGCATACCCTGTAAAACATATGCTGAACAAGTTGGCAGTTCATTCAGCTGTGGTGACCGCTGATAAATAAAGAAACTAAGCCAAAGTAAAATGAATGGATAAAGTAGTAAGTTTGTGTTCATTTTTAAGTAAAATGATTAAAAACTCCTAACTGCTATGATATGCTAACTAGAACTAATTACTTATTTTGCAAATTTGAAAAAAAATCATCCACTAAACAGAAAAAAATGTATTGACTCAATAGCAGTTACTGTTGCTTTAGTTGATGTGACAAGAATATCTTCATTAGTAAAATACAATAATCAACATTGCATAAAGAAACAAAATTATGTTAGCTGAACAAAAAATTGTTACTGAGAAAAACTAAAAAACAGTTGTTGAGACAACTCAAAGTTCTTACTGCATCAAGTTGCCTTATTTTTTTCTGTTTTCTCAACAATTTATTTTTTACAGTGTAGTTCTTACTGTGTGATTGAAACGAGCACCGATTTACCTGTGATTTCAGGCATTTGACGGCGATTTCTTAAAATCTGTCTGCGATTTACAATCGGGGTTAAAATCATGCAGTCTGAACTTGGCATAAGCAGAGTCTGGTCAGTACCTAGATGGGAGACCACATGAGAACACTAGGTTGCTGTCGAAAGTTGTGTTAGTGAGGCCAGCAGGGGGCGCTCAACTTGTGGTCTGTGTGAGTCCAAATGCCCCAATACAGCAAAGGGGACGCCATACTGTCAGTGGGTGCTGTCTTTTGGATGAGACGTTAAACTTAGGTCCTGACTCTCTGTGGTCATTAAAAATCCCATGGCGCTCCACGTAAAGAGTAGGGGTGTAACCCCGGTGCCATATTCCCCCCATTGCCCCTTACTCATCATGGCCTCCCAATCATCCCCATTCACCAAACTGTCTGTATCACTGTCTCTCCACTCCACCAATAGCTGGTGTGTGGTGAGCGCACTGGCGCCATTGTCCTGTGGCTGCCGTCACATCATCCAAGTGAATGCTGCACACTGGTGGTGGTGTGGAGAGACCCCCCTCATGATTGTGAAGTGCTTTGGGTGTATGATATATGCGCTATATAAATACACACATTACATATATGTAATAATAATTCAACTATGGTATTAATAGTAAAATTGTTGTTAATCTAATTTTAATCACTGAGCCAAAACATGGGCGAAGCAGTGGCGCAGTAGGTAGTGCTGTCGCCTCACAGCAAGAAGGTTGCTGGGTCGCTGGTTCGAGCCTCAGCTCAGTTGGCGTTTCTGTGTGGAGTTTGCATGTTCTCCCTGCGTTCGCGTGGGTTTCCACCGGGTACTCAGGTTTCCCCCACTGTCCAAAGACATGTGGTACAGGTGAATTGGGTAGGCTAAATTGTCCGTAGTGTATGAGTGTGTGTGTGAATGTGTGTAAGGATGTTTCCCAGAGATGGCTTGCGGCTGGAAGGGCATCCGCTGCGTAAAAACTTGCTGGATAGGTTGGTGGTTCATTCCGCTGTGGCGACCCTGGATTAATAAAGGGACTAAGCCGACAAGGAAATGAAATGAAAAAAAAAAAATGAGCCAAAAACATGGTTACTACACTTTTACTACATTTAAATCATGGTTAATTTTCATAATAATAATAATGCATTGTTATAAATGCTGTTTGTTTCCCATGCTGCATGTCATTTTTGTTAATAACATGGGCAAAACTGCATCTACAGACTATTAATGCTCAGACAAAAAAGCACATTTTTACTTACAAAGATCTAAAATTAACAAATGAGGAACTGAGAGTTACACTAGTGGGTAACACCCTTAAAACACTCCAGCTGCATGCAGAACTACTCAACAACTGAAGTCATTGCTTGAGTGATTAAAGATTAACAAACACGCCATACATCATATTGCATAGTGGTGTATTATGGGAAACCGTTCACAGAGTTAAACGCAGCAAATATAGCTTTCTTGGTCTGTAAAGCCTGTAATTTGGGCTGGTCCCTGTGCTGAGCAGATCCAAGGATTGTAGTCTGCACATTTCGCCCATTCGTGCTCAGAAAAGCTTCCACTGATAACAACAGCAATATGCATGAAAGGAAATGAAGACTCTTTAGCTTAAATTTAATTAAAAAAAAGTTTGTGCATCAAAATTTCTGAAAATCTAATTCACTATAGTGTCACAATTGCCTCATAGACATAATGCAAATGCTTCTCTCACAGACAGTCAAACACTGTAAACCCTAATAAGTTGAGTCTATTCACATGGTCTGAGGAAATTGAGTAATGAGAAATCGACAAAATTCAGTTGACCAAATGAGGTCTCTTCATTGAATTACTTAAATGTTTAAGTACGGGATAAGTTAAAATGTTAAATGTTTAAGTATGGATAACTTAAATGTTTAAACACAGATCATTTAAAATGTTTAAGTACAGATAACTTAAATGTTTAAGTATGGATAACTTAAATGTTTAAAGAGCCCATATTATGGGTTTTTGAAAATTCCCCTCCATGTAGTGTGTAACACAGCTCTAAGTGAAGTGAAGTATCCAGCTAAGGCTTAAATCTGTAAGAATACAGTGTTTAAAACTGTTGATTCATCTATAAAAGAGTCGATTCATAGTGCTTCAAACGAGTCGCCTTGATACCGACTCATTAGGTGTTTCGCCATGACGTACGAACGAAACAAAGTTTTTCACGTGCACGCGCAAACCCGGGAGATTTCAAACCTGAGGCCCCGCCCTCTGACGCAGTAACCCAGACACACACACACACACACACCCACAAACACACGCACACAAACATGCCGGTCGATTGAAGTCACATTGCAGATGGATATATTGAGTCTCTACCCAAAGATGAAACCTCAGCATTATAGCCAAGCAGTTGGAAACTACTGGAAACTTCTGGAAGCTACATGCTACAAAGAATACTTCATCTGCGTTTGTTAAAGGAAGGATCAGTAACTTACTGATGGACATCAGGATGGGTTTCTTCCATTTCTCAAGTGTAAGTACGTGCGGTTAAAGTTGTTGCCTCGTTGACTCTAGCTTGCAAATGTAT